TTTAAAGATATTGATTTTGCACTAAACGTTTATACAAAAACGTAAATAATTACAAATACATATCAAATTTTAACTTTAAACAGATTAAAGACGCAAAAATTAATGTCATTGTAATCATATTAATTATTTTATTCAATGTAATAAAAATGTATGTAGATTTTATGCGCAAAAATGAATGTATAAATTATTTTATTTGAATCTAATATTTTATATAAAAAAAGAGACTCAAAAATTAATGTAAAAGAAAGAATGCACGAGTAGATACTTTTTATACAATATATCAAACAAGAAAACAAAATTGTTGTTTTTCATTATTTGTAACTATAATAGATGCATTTTATCGGACTACATAAACAGAAATAATATAAAATTATAAAAAAAAACGTATTATTTAAGAACAATTTGAACATATTATTGAAAAAAGAGATTAAAGAATGTGTATAATATAATATTACGTTAAGTTAATAAATTTATATTGTTTATAGAACATGTAGAGTCGAAATAAAAATACTTTTTTTGTTAAAATACTTTTTATAATACGAACTCAAGCTGTTGAATAAACCTATCAAAAACTCGATTGTTTTACATGTTATTAAAATAATATATAGTAAAAAAAAGAATGATATAACTATTAAAAACTTACTTTTTTTTAAAAAAGGTAAAAAAAAGGTGCCAAGTACACGCGCCAGGTGTGAAAAACTCTTATGTAGTAATGTTATTTTATCCAAAACAAAAAACTGTTGTACAAAATAGTTGCTTCAATTTTCTACCAAAAATAGTGATATTGAAAAATTGCGCGCCAATTAATAAAAATTTATGCTACAAAATTTATTTATCAAGCGATGCGGTAGCGTCGCGACGCCAAGTATATATAAAAATTCGTTCCAGCTTGTCAACGGTTTGCCTATGTACAGGGGCCGCGACGCTACCAAGTAGCTTATCCGGAGTTTTACGTCTAATAAACTTTCGATTAAAGTTCCTCAGGAACCAAGCCGTTAATCAAAAATCTAACGGCACTTTTCTTATACAATGTGGATGCAAGCTTTCGATTGCGACCAGTTTGAATAAGATTGGTGCAGTCAATCCTGAGGAATGATAATCGTATACCAGAAATGTGACATTTTTCGTTTTCCATCATTATCATAATAATCATAAGTTTCAGACTCTCACGTACGTATGCTCGCACGCACACACGCAAAGCGAGTTTGTCCCTCAAGGCGCGTTTGCAGCGCTCATGTACGATTATTCGCTTGAGTGTGCAAATACGCCTTGAGAGACAATGTGTATGTGCGTGCATACGTATATGATACGTATCAAGCGGTGCGCGGTAGCATCGCGACGTCAAGATATAATAACGTTATAAGGTTAATGTTCGCGACGTCAAGATATAATAACATTATAAGGTTATTAATGTTATATTTGAATCTGCTGCAGAAAATATATTTGGTCCTATCGAGTAAGTAGATTGAAATTTTGTATATATATCTGCTTATATATGTCTGCTTATATATGTTTATTTATTGTTTTATAAGTATATTATTTTTTGATTATATCTGAATATTGTCTAAATTATAGCGCTTATTTGCAGGATAAAGCAAAATCAATCAATCCTTTCAAGAAGGCTGGTATACTTTTAGCTGGGATTTCTTCAGCTGGGATTGCATACGGTCTTATACCGTAGAACTTTGCTAAACAGCGTAACATATTGGGTTATAGAGATTTGGCAGTAACAGACAGTAAGTACAATATAGTAGCACATATAAAACATTCAGTAGCACATATAAAACTAGATATGTAAATTAAATTAAATATTAAAATTCTGTTCTTTTCATTGCACACAGATAGAGGGAAGTGACCATAAAGCACTTAACTTCGGATGGACATAAAAACGATTAATAACTGTCGAAGTAAAAGAAATATTTACTATTTATAATGGGGTAAGGGGAATCCTTGCTCTTATGTTAAGTTATTGAACTGAAGTTGAATTCAATGTGTTGAATCACGTGTAATATTATAATAGCATGTTGCAATGCGAGATATATATTCATAAGTTTTATGAACATTATCAGAGAGAAATCACTGACATTATTATATTTTTGATTATATAGTTGTGAAGTAAAACTTGTAAATTCCTACGATTTTATCAAAAATGTAATAATGTCAGTGATTTCTCTCTGATAATGTTCATAAAACTTATGAATATATATCTCGCATTGCAACATGCTATTATAATATTACACGTGATTCAATGTGTTGAATAGCTTGAAATTTGTGAAACACGAATACCGAAAATAAATTTAAGCTATAATTATATAGTTATAATTATAGCTTAAATTTATTTACGGTATTCGTGTTTCATAAATTTCAAGCTATTCAACACATTGAATTCAACTTCAGTTGAATCACTTAACATAAGAGCAAGGATTCCCCTTACCCCATTATAAATAGTAAATATTTCTTTTACTTCGACAGTTATTAATCGTTTTTATGTCCATCCGAAGTTAAGTGCTTTATGGTCACTTCCCTCTATCTGTGTGTGATGAAAAGAATTGTAATATTTAATTTAGTTTACATATCTGGTTTTATATGTGCTACTGAATGTTTTATATGTGCTACTATATTGTACTTACTGTCTGTTACTGCCAAATCTCTATAACCCAATATATTACGCTGTTTAGCAAAGTTCTTCAGCTGGGATTGCATACGGTCTTATATCCAGCTAAAAGTATACCGGTCTTCTTGGAAGGATTGATTGATTTTGCTTTATCCTGCAAATAAGCGCTATAATTTAGACCATATTCAGATATATATTATCAAGAAATAATATACTTATAAAACAATAAATAAACATATATAAGAAGAGTCCGTATATAGCGCGAAAGAGAAAACGCAGGACTTGGCGGCCGCGTAGCGGCGCGAGAAAGAATCTGTGCGAATCTATGGAGCGCGAGAGAGAACTCGTATGGAGCGCGGGAGAGAACCCGTATGGAACGCGATAATTTCGTGATAAATTTTATTTTTCTAACGAATAATTTTATTTAATATATGTAGTTGTATTTAATATATGTAGTTTTATTTAATAAAAATACATTTTTATCATAATACAGCCGTTTTAATTATCCAAAAATTGTGCGACTCGTCCATTCCCAGCCATTTCACGTAAATTTTCACGTGATGAAAAATGGATCCACTATGATAATCCAAAAAGGAAGAAATCATGGGGACCACCTGGGCATGCTTCAACATCTACCGTATTCACCAGACATTGTTCCTTCTGATTTCCAGATGTTTAGATCGATGGCGCATGGCCTGTCTGAGCAACACTTCACATCATATGAAGATACCAAAAATTGGGTCGATTCGTGGATAGCCTCAAAAGATGAAGCATTCTTCCGACGCGGTATCCGTATGCTGCCAGAAAGATGAGAAAAAGTATTGGCAATCGATGGACAATACTTCAAATAAAACATTAGGTTCCATTCTTTCACAATAAATGCCCAATTTTTGATAAAAAACGGCGGAAACTTATTTGTACACCTAATAATATT